CAAAATAAAAATAGAGATTATTATGGTAGTATTCTATTTGAATTTATTGTGTATGAGCCACAAACAGCTAAAGAAATGATCTTTAAAAAATAATAAATCTGCTGGGTGCCAGTGGCTCACTGCTGTAATCCTAGCTACTCAGGATGCTGAATATCTGAGGATCTTGTTTTACAGCAGCCCAGGTAAAATAAGCCAGAAATGGAGGTATGGCTCAAATGGTAGACACTAGTCTAAAGAACAAACACAAAATCTCAAAGACAATGCCTTATCCCTGAGTTCAAGCCCAGGACCAGCACAATATTAATAACAATCCTAAAGTATTTAAAACAAACCCATATTCAATAATCTACATTTGTCTAATGATAACTCTGTCATTCTGATTTGGGTTTCTATGTAAACACATTTCTAAGACACAGTTTGAATACTTTCTACTGAAAGTAGATGTTGAAAGCTTCAAAGTACCAAATATTATTATGGATCCTCAAAGCAAACTTAAGTTCTATTTTATTTTTTGCTTCAGATATTATTTTAAGTCTTCAGTACAAAAAAAATCTACGTCAAATAAAAGCTACTGTTGCCAATTATAATTCAAGAGGTCATTCTTAGTACAGAAAACTAAATCTAGGCTTCTATTGCTCAGATTACCATTTCACTATCACTTTTGCAGCGTTGAAATCAGTGAATATTTTTAAAATGTGTGCAATAAAAATACAAAACAAAATCTGAGAAGTAGCCATTTTATGAGTTTTTTTGGTTCCTTTTTGTTTGGTAGTAATGAGATGTTTGAACCCTAGGCCTGTCACTTGCTTGGAAAGCCCTGTCAGCACCAAATTATGCCTGTGGCATTAATTTTGCTTCTATTTTATATGATAATGCTTCTCTCTCTGTCTAGTCCTGTGTCAGATCACAATCTATCTACATCAGGCCTCCCATTTTAGCTTAGATAACAGATGCACACCCAGCTCACCACTGAGGAGTTTTTTGTTGTTGTTGTTTTTTACAACTTTTCTTACTATGAATGGCCTCTAGGCATGATCCTCCAATCCCAGTCTCTTTACTGATGTAGATTGTAAGCATGAGCCATACATTGCTGGCTAGGAAGATGCATTTTAATGGCAATTACTCCATTTGGTAAGAATGTTTAAAGGAGTTACATCATACACTCCTGTGTAATAGCAGATGACAGATGAATGATTCTTCTATTAACACTATTAGAAGATCTTACAATATTAAAAAAGAATTTTCAAAGATTCAATCATCAAATACAATGGAAAGATATAATCAGAGAACTGTGTTTAGTTCCTTAACATTTACATCTATGTCAAATATGCATTCTAAGGCATCATTTTCTTTCTTTCCCTTATATTAAGGTGCCAAGTTGGGTATCTATTTTTCAAATTATATTTCTAGAAGCAGAAGTACAATATTACTTAACTACCAAATAGTTTTCTAGAGTGGGTACCAGGGATTCAAGCTTGTCATCCTACTGAGGAGGAGTAGATCTAAGGATCACAGTTGAATCCAACTGGCAGGAAATTTCATGAGACTCTTATCTCGAATAAACTAGTGGTAGATTGATAGCCTTGAGCAAAAGAAGTTCAAGGACAACACCCAGGCCCTAAGTTCAAGACCCAGGAAAAACGCGCATGTAAACACACACACACACACACACACACACACACACACACACACACACCGTTTTCCTTTCCATCTCTGGGAAGTGTATTTTACTATGTTAGAAAAATCAAGCCATGCAATTCATTGAATTGAATGTCTCCATAAATGCTAGTTGTATATTTTTTAATTATGCAAATTTGGCTTATCCACTCATTAATTCTGTGGGTAAACTGACAGTGTGTTAGCATGTTCCTTACAGACCATATCAGCACATTATTTACCTGGACCTATTTTACAGAGATGATTCTACTGGGGTAATAGGGAATAAAAAAATATCATCACTTGACATTTGGTGAAGTTGAAGCACAGTGGCTGTCTGCCTCCATTCACTAGTATATGCTTCAAGCAAATAATTCTAATGCTTCTACTGCAGGCAATTGCTGTTACTGAAGCGATTTGAAATTAAATTCTCACCTTTTCCTGATCATACTTTACAGCTAAGCATATGTGAATCTATTTTCTCATGAAAATATTGAGATGACTTAGAATCATTGTCAAATTAATAATCACTGTTCACCATAATACTGAAGAAGACAGTGAATTTAAGGCTTTCTGGCTCTAGAACGTTCCTAAAAATGGGCATGTGTGAATGTGTGTTGATGGATAGGGACTATAAATTTACCTTTGCTATTGTCCTTTTCTTCCTTAAGAGATAGGGTTGTTGTTTTAAGTTACCAGATATATAAATAATCCCATTGTACAAGAGTTATACTCATTTGATTATGAACAATGATGCCCAACTCTGGTCTGATAAACTATCCCATATCTTCTTAGCTGATTTCTGTGTTCATATTTCAGAATAAAGAAAAATAAATAAAACCATTACAAAATAAACAATGTATGTCATGAGAAAAATGTAAAGTGTGTTTGCTATGGTTCCTTGGAGGAATGTAGATTTAGAAGTACAAGACAGTCATCATTACTACTGGCCAGAACCTCTAGAGAGAAATCATCTTCCTCCTTATGCCAAAGGGCAGGGTGATCATCTTGGTGAAATGCATACTACCTCACTGACACTATCTTAGCTGTGACAAAAGAAACAAGACAGGCATCTTGGTGAATACCAGGACATCCAACCACCATTATGTTTGCAACAAGACAGATCACATAAAAATGACTTGGCTATTTTTAAATATTTAAAATATAGTCAACTTCTACTTTCCATTATATATATAAAACCAACTTCTACTTTCCATTATATATATATATCTATAGAATTGCTTGAAATACCCCCATAAACATATGCTACATCATCATCAAAAAGTATCTGGTTTCCTAGAAATGAATCATAAGGTACCTAAATCTCTTCACGTACAGTCAATATACACTTCCCATAAAAGGGAAACTATTTGCATACCTCCTGAAAGTATACTTTCCTTCAACAAATGTCCTAAATGTCTCAAGGAAATGAGATGGGGAGATTTTTCTTCCAAATATGATTAACTTAAATAAAATTAGATTTCTTTGGTGATATAACACTTCACAGCAGACTTTTCTCTGACATTCCGGGGCTGGGGTGGGGGTGGGGGGAGATGCTTTTATCTCTCCAAAAATACACTTGAAATACAGAACTCAGTACCAAGACTAAGGCCAAGCTGTTGTCAGACATGCTTATCAAGAGCTATGATGGATGTGTTTTTCATGAATGTTGTTTGAAGCTGGAGGGCTAAACAAGTATCAGCAGCAGCAAGTGCAACTTTCCATATGGGTCGCTTCTCACCTACAGTTTATGAAACAGCTAAATGACAGAGTGACTCCATGGATATGCAGGGCTGATACACAAGACAGATACTCTGTTTAAACGCAACGATTTCATCTCATGCAAACTAGTTTAGGTTGGGTTGTCATAAGACATCATTCACATTTCAGTCAGCTAAAAACTGAACAGAATATAATGTCAAATACAATAGGAAGTCTTACAATCTAAGGCAACATCTGGAGTGTCTCCCTGCTCCGAATCCCCTGAGCAAAAGAATGGTATGAGAGGTAGAACTATCTGGTTTGTTTATTCTGTCTGTCTGGTCCCTAGACTGGAAACTTTCCATGTCACATGTACTCATGGTCAAGTGATCGTCCTGGCTACCTGACTCTGTTCTGCACTGTCTAATCAGACCCCTTCACGGGACAGCTTCCTCATCTCTGATGTGCTCCATAAAGAGAGAGAACAACAGTCAGCCATAGAACACTACATGCAAATCAACCATGAAACAGATTTCCTAAATACATATCTAAATTTGTGCTTTATTATAACTGTGTCACCTTGGACTTACTATTATGACATAAAACGGCTGTGGCTTTGTATCGCTCTTGGGAATAATCACACATATTTGTGAAGTCATCTTAACAAATACTTAAGTGACTATTATGTGCAAGTAATGTCTTATTCGATATAGTCAGTCCCCGAAGGTCATCAGCCTCTACATGTAATGTAAGAAACAGCTCTGGACAATTCAAACCATCATGTTTTGGTTTATATCCTTCTGAGATCAATAAAATGCCCGGAGTGAGCCATCTACTCAGTCACTTTTCAATTAGAGGGGTCTGGCTTTCCCATTCAGATCTATTCCTCCCTGGCTGGCCTCAGCAGTATACAACTGATAGGTGGTATCTGTTTGTACTAAGTAGGTATCAGTGGAAACAACTCTAGTCTATGTGCCTAGTTACAACTTCCAGGTCAGTGATAAAAAGTCAAGCAATCACTCCAACACTCATTTAGACAGAACAGCCCAAGACTTTGGGGAAATAACCCTTATTTCTATCTCCCTCTCTCCCAAGACTTAGCTGTTTGTCATGTCCTTAACTCCATTGTACTTCCAACTACCCTGCAAAAGGTAAGAAGTAGAGACTCTTCCCATCCAACAGAGTGAAGGATAGGCAAGAATAGCAATTCCTAGTTGAGACTTCACTACCATGTTGTTTTACTTCATCTTCCTGAATGATATGCTTGACAAATTTACAACATCATTTCATGGTCAAATCCAGCAGAAGTTACCAAGGGTTGGACTTTTCACTTTTTTTTTTTATTTCTGACCAGTTTTCCCCCCATGTTTCCATCTATATGGATACTAAGATAGATTTAAACTGAGCAAAAAAAAAATATGCCTGGAAAAGAAATTCTGGAAAACAATGGCTGAGATTTTGGAAGTGATATACAAATGAGATTATAAATAAGAGTCCACACTTTATCACTTGATACAGTTGATCGTCTGTTGTTTCCTTTGGGCTAGTTTTCTTTAAGAACATGTTCTAGATTCTAATCTTTGCTATCTGGGCACATTTGTGCCAGAATTCCCATCCACATTCAGAGAATACAGAATACTCACTTGTTTAGCCTTCGTCTTTGAAATTGTATCAGAAATAGGTTTCTTTCTCTCCTTTACAGCAGTTTTTGAAAATAATTCTTCAAATTCATGACAATCTATAGATGGCTCTTCAATTTTTTCCCAAATGAGTGAAGGACTGGAGTCTCTAAAATAAAGAAAAGAACACTGAAAGAGACATCAAACAGAACTGTAGAATGGCCTAGTTTATATAGAACTGTGAACATGATGAACAGGAAAGGAAAGAAAAGGGAATGAAGAGAGGGAGGAGGAAGAGAAAAAAGGGGAAGGACTCCAAATGGGAGAAAGAAGGGGGAGAGAGGTAAGGGAGAAAATACTTTATCCACTTGACAAGGAAGTTAAAACACCATCCACATAGACTAAAATCTTTGCTTGGGAATGATTTGTAGGGATTCTCAGTTATCAAGTCTTTGTATAAAAACATAAAGGGAAAACTTCTAGAATGGATTATGAAGGACTATGTGCTACCTCACAATCTGAACTTGACTAATTAGCCGGGTAGATTATTCCTGGACTTAACATATATGCATCTTCCAAAAGCACCCTTTCCTCAGTGGCTCCCACCAGCTCATAATTATGTAGAACCTCAATAAATATAGATTCTTGTAGTACCGCCAAAAAGAGCAAATTACTTTTCCCTTTTTTTTTCTTCAGGTACTAAAGTTGAAGTAAGGGGCTGCACCTCCTAATCCTTTTTATGCATTTTAGTCTGTTTCTGAGTCAAAGTCTTCTACTTTTGTCTAGGCTGGCCTCAGAGCACAATCCTTCTATATCCACCAATTGAGTCTCTGGATTCAGAAGCCACAAAAAGGTGGGGCTGGGATATGGCTCATGGTAGAGAGAAAAGACTTCTATAAGCAGGACAGAATCAAGAATAAAGGCTGAGCCTTTTACAGGATGGGAATGCCAGCCTCAGGTGTCAGTTTGCCTGTAGATTTGATTTTTATAAGTAAGCTTTTCGCCAGAAATAGACATTTAAATAGCGAAAGCCAAGAGTAGATTCTCTCATGGAAAATAATCACTCGGCAAATGGCTCTACCTATCTGCCCTCACTCACCTTGTAGACAAACACTGTTTTGATTTAGGTGTGAGTAACATTTAAATCCAGCCACAAAGAGACATAGAATGTCCATTAAGAAAAACAGACCCCTCTATCCTTAGAGATGTATTCATATACAGGTGGATTGATGTACATCCCATACACTGATCCATACATTGATGATGTTTTGTTTTGCTTATTTGATACCATTGGAGAAAAACTTGTGATTTTAAATAACACACTGTTTCATTAACTTACATAAAAATCTACAGGTAGGTTTTATGGCTCGTTTATAAAATACATTCCCCCAATTTTTAGTTACAATGAAAAGATGTGAAAAGATGAGCTAGTTTTTATGTTACCTTTTACTGTGGAGTTGAATCCTTGTCCAATAAAGAGGCTTCATTGGCCGACAAGGCTCTATTGGCTGCTTCCTACTCCCTCTGTCCTGACTCATCCCAAACCCAAACAAGCCAGTGGGCAGAGGAGGAAGAAGAAATCCACACACTTGTGGTGCTGATAAAGTGCTACTCCCAACTTGTGGGGAGAGTGTAGGTCCTGATCCAGGGAGCAGAGGAGGGGGTGGGGGTGGAGGTATTCCTGACCCAGGGGGAGGGGGAGCAGGTGGAATCCCCATACCTGGCAAAGGAGGAGGTGGAGGAACTGCAGCTCCAGGGAGAGCAGGGGGTGGGGGTATTCCCACTCCAGGGAGAGGGGGAGGGGGAGGGGGAGGTACTCCCACTCCAGGGAGAGGAGGGGGAGGGGGTATCCCCACTCCAGGCAAGGGAGGAGGAGGAGGAGGAGGAGGAGGGGGTATCCCCATGCCAGGGAGAGGGGGAGGCGGAGGTACTTCCATTCCCGGGAGAGGGGGAGGTGGGGGTATTCCCACTCCAGGGAGAGGGGGAGGGGGAGGTATTCCCACTCCAAGGAGAGGGGGAGCAGGGGGTATTCCCACTCCAGGGAGAGGGGGAGCAGGGGGTATTCCCACTCCAGGGAGAGGGGGAGCAGGGGGTATTCCCACTCCAGGGAGAGGGGGAGCAGGGGGTATTCCCACTCCAGGGAGAGGGGGAGGCGGAGGGACTTCCATTCCAGGGAGAGGAGGAGGAGGGGGTATTCCTACTCCAGGGAGGGGAGGGGGAGGTGGTATTTCCACTCCAGGGAGGGGTGGGGGTGGGGGTACACACGTTCCTGGGAGAGGAGGAGGATGAGGTATTCCCATTCCCGGGAGAGGAGGAGGAGTGGGTGGCAGCATTTGAGTACCAGGCAGAGGGGGGGTTTGGGGGATTGCTGTACTGGGCAGAACAGGCACTGTCCCATCTGAGATGGAGGGGGGAGCAGACGTAGCCACGTTCAAGCCAGGCATGGAACTAGAGGACTCCATGGAAGGCAGAGGCGGTGGAGGTGGAACAGTACATCTATTTTCCAAGGAAGAAGAAACAGAGTGATCATGGCTGGTTCCACCTTCAGTGTGAAGAGAAGGGTGGGACAGCAGTGACCCAGGCTGACCCTGACCATTTGTCCCTTGAGGAGATGTTGGTGGTAGAAGCTGGGATACAGTTGGTGTGGACTGCTGGGAGTCAAACTGTACTGATATCCGTCTTGGAGACACAAGCAAAGAAATCTCTGAGCAGAATTTTGTTTGAGGTCCAGCAGGTAAATCTCCAGTCGCGGGTGGGCATGGAAGACCATGCAGTGCATTCCCTGGTGGCAAAGGCAGTCCCCCACCTTCTTCTGTTGGAGACGTCTGTATTGATTTTGCCTCTAAAACTCTCGGCTGCTGCAAATCCTTCCCTTCTATTCTGAGAGCTTCCAGACAGACAAGATCTGAAGGAGTGACTCCATTCTCAACCCCTTGATGGCTACTGGTCACCTCCATATCTGGTACGGGGTACTGCTTCTCCAGTTCAGCTATCTTGGTCCGCAGATCTTCAATGGTGCGTTCCAGCTGCTGAATGACAGTTGCCTGTCCTTCCGACTTTGTGTCAAAAACTTCCTGAGGGACAACAGGAACAAACATGGTTAAACATACCATTTAAAATATCTATATTTATATCTCTATATGCATGTGTGCACACGTCTATATATCCATATCTATGCAAATGTATACATAGATATAGATCTATAATTAAGCAAGATTCATTTGCTGGTTGCAAGCTCCCTGTACAGTAAGACCCTATGAGAATATCTATGTGGCCTCTATTCCATGTTCGAAGTTAAAAGTGGTTCACACCTGTTACCATAGCATCCAAAGGTCCTGGCCAGGCTCTTCTTCAAACAGTATCAATGAGGACAAGTAGACAACTGAAATTAGCAGAGACAATTCTGATTCTTTTTTAAAATAGACTTCTGTCTTTCCTTATGAGGGCATTCCCTAATGACCTCATAATTTTGAGTTCGAAAGGTAAGACCTTTCTTTGAAAAGGAAAATATCTGAGTCTCTAGTAAGAATGTGAGCGATGTGTTTGACCTCACAGGAACGTGAATACATACAAATTATGCCATGGACACCATGATTACTGCAGTGATGGTATTTCACCCAAGGTATTTTGAAATGATGACTCATAGTCTTCATAAATTTATAAAGATAGGTTCTAAAAGTCAAAATAATAAGAGGTACATATTTTTATGTAAGCATATACACAGACATACACACCTAGACACAAGTGGCAAAAGCACACAAAATCTCTTAAACCATTATTTTTTCCATCAACATCTATTTAAAAGACTAAAAGTATTACAGTGCACAAATTGGAAAATTGTGTGAAATATCTCTAAGTAATCCATGGTAAAGGAAAGATTATTATGAACACATTTTACTCCCTGCTGAGCCACTATGCTTAATTTCATTCATTAAGTAGTCATCAAAAGACAAAACAATAGTAGCTAGTTACTAGTGCAACTATCTAGTGTTTCTTTCTTATCTTGGACTAGTTAAATGTATAGATCATCTTGTCTTTCTCAGCATATATTAAAAAGTGATTTTGAATTATTATTTGCTTAAAAGAAAAAGAACAGAATGTAATCCATGCTTCTGCCCAGGTGCATGAGGCATAGGAGCTTACTCCCATCCTTCCCAAGGTGAAGATTTGAAGGGGATTAGACATGTAATCCTCACGTAGGGTGTCGATTCCAGGAAACAGATATGAGGCCTGAATCCTAACCCAGACCCACACCTGGACCTATTGTCTGTTTTAATTCCCAGTATGGGATCCAGGAACCAGTGGTCTTTCCAGCAGCCCACTTACTGCCAAATTTCCCCAGGACACCCTGTAATGAATTACTGGACTTGGGAGACCCCACCTAGACATGGGACCTTTAGGTAGATAACTGCTTAATGTGGGTTCCAACTGATCATCTTGGAAGGTACGACCACTTTAAATGCAGTCAAGAAACAAATGCTGTATCTTAACAACATTAACAAGAGTGAGGGAAGGATTAGGGGACTTAAAAGGGGTGGCACTGATCAAGATCTATTGTATTCATAAACTTTTGTTAAATGGCAAACCTTTTGTATCACTTCTTAAAGATAAATTTTAAAAATAGAAATAGATAAAAGGAGGAGACTGGCGGCCTCAGGCCAGTGACCTCAGAAAGTCACAAATCATAAATCCAGACCCAACCTGCATGCCAGATCCTGACTGAAGTCCAGTTCTCCCCCTGCCCTCCAAGCGCAAAGCTTCCTGGAGCAGCATGGCTGAGCTCAGGCCTCAGAGCAAAGGTGTTGATTGGTCAGCAGGACCACAGGGCGGGGCCGAATCTTAAAATTCCAGCAGCTAAGCAAACCAAACAAAAGGGAAGCCCTCTTGGCTTGGAAACCCCGAGAGATGATGACTTGAAGCCTCATATGGGTTTGTTAAACAATCCTCTAATACTCTATTCCCAGGACCATTGTTCTTCACCATCCTCCCTCCTGGAACCATTGACATATGGTGAGAATAACCCAACATCAATGGGAGAGGCAGGAAGAAGCTGGAATCACCAGGGTCCAGCTCAGCTCTCTCTCCATCCACCTTGACTAGTTCCGGACAACCAAAACTTTTCTGCGCATCTCGAGACCAACCAGCGACTGACTGTGGAACTTCGGGAGCTTGCTATTTTGAATTATTTAACTAGCCTTTCCTAAGTTATCCTGGCACAAAACAAAGGTTCTTATCTTCTAATGATTATTAAAGAAGAATGTTAACTGACCAATTGAATGCAGAAAGGAGACTTTTTGGAAGAGTTTTCCAAAACCCAATTCTTAAATGTTACAACCTAGAGGGCCATTCAGTGATCATCATGGATTTGAGTATAAACAGTACAAAAACTCAGAGACAATTAGGAAACTAAATTCCACAAGGAAGAAAATGTTTATAAGTCACAATGGCCTCACTCAGGAGCAAGTGTTAAATTGCTTTTTTTTTATATTAATATGTTTTTTGTACTGGGAAAATACCGTACAGAGGAAGAACAATTACATGAGCAAGGTAATGAGTACATTTCTTATCAAGTATTGTTGCCTCCTCCTTTGTTTCCCCTTAACATCCCCACCCCCAAGTGGTAAAGTTCATCTTTTGACATAACATCTTGTACATCTCATTGTTGCAATGGATCCACCTGTATCCCTGTTTAAACAATTTGTTTTTTCCCTTCCCCTCCACAAATTATACCAACATCAAATACAGTGAAAACAGGGGTTATACCGTGGGGGAGGGACATACAAAGCAACAAAGAAATATCTTATAAATATGTTAGAAACAATATCAAGACAGAAAAACCATTTGAATCCTTATCTTGGGGTTCATTTTGCCTAACATCAACTTATCTGACCGTTTCTGCTTCTGTGTGGGTTTAGAATATGTTGACGACACACAAAGCCAGTGATAACAGAGGTCATGACACCAGAAACTGGGAAGATCCCTGGGATATTTATGCTAATTACATAGCCAAGTTGGCTAAAGGTGTAAGAGAAGCCTTCTAGACACAACTAGTAAAGACGTCTTTGGGAATGCCCAAATGCTCCTCTTTGGGAGCTGACATGAATGAAGCCATCTTGACTCACACCAAAACCCTGCCTCTTAATTATCCTGGTCACAGTTTTTCCTTCTTAGTTTCCCAGTATACTATAAATAGACATAACAGTGTAGTGGTTTATAGAGCTTTATGAGCAGACACTGGTTCCAGGAATGTTCCTGACTGATATTAACATGAGATAAACCAAGTATATTCTGTCTTGGATGAAGTTAATTTTCTGGCAAGTAGATAATACTTGCTTCTGACACAAATTGAGGGGCTTCATTGCTGGTGCTGTCCAGGACCACACTTTGTGCTTCTGCCAATATGTCACCAATAAATTATATTCTGGAATTCTGGATCTGGCTGCCTCCATCTGTGTCACCATACCTTGGGGCCAATTCCTATACTTTGGGACCAGGTTGTTCTAAAGTTTTTTCAGGTGGAATCTCCTCCAGAGATTTTGGCAGTGACTTTTTAGCTTCTATGCCTTCTATGCCTTCTATATCTATAACAGTGAGAAGAAAATCCACATTTATAGACTCCCTTGCAGCTAGGTTCAACAAGTTCACCGTCATAGATATTCTTGCATCTGGACAATAACGATCTAAAAACTTGAAGTTTTACTGGAACAAGATTACAACGACCATTCTACAATTTGCTGTTGTGACATCATAGGTTTCAATCATAGACCATGACTGAAAAAAACTGTAAAGGTTCCAACATAGAGATTCTTTAAACATTCCATGAAAGAACTGTATTATTTTACCCTTCTGATTGATATAACTACACGTTTTCTGGTACCTTCAACAAAGGCTGATATACAGAGGTAACAAAATTTTAGAATAAATCGAAGGAAAAAAAAAAGATTGATTTTCCTAAAAAAGAAAGAAAGAAATTAAAAACCACCTAAAGCACTTTACATTAGATAAGATTTGGGTTGGGGATGTAGCTCAGTAGTAAAGCATTTACCCAGAATGCATGAAGCCCTGGGTTTAGTCCTAGACTAAACAACAACAACAGAAGAAAAGCAAAAACTAAAACTAAAGCACAGACTGTAGTAAGGGTTGATCCGTGTTAAGCTTTGGGATTGAATCTAATTTTAAAAGTGGTCAAATTTATTCATGTGTTTTTCTTATTTTAAGCAAAGGATAATTAAGAGTACTTAGATAACAAAAAGTTAAAAACAGGAGACTGATAGACTCTGTAAGTTTCAAAGGTTTCCCAATGCAAAATACAAGAGAAACAAAACTAAGAAGGGGCAAATAGTGTTGAGAGAGAAAAAAATTCCAAAACTCTGTTTATAATAGATGTAGCAATGCTATTATCTATGTATTTCCAGAAAGGTGCTAAAGTCCAAGAATTCTTGAAGGCAATAAACACGCTACAAAATAAAAGATAAAAAATTTTACGTAAAAATCTTTGCCTATTTTTTTTTAATAGTGCCAGTATTTGGGCTTAACTCCCACACAGGAGGCACTCTACCATTTAAATCATGCCTCCTGTCCCAGGCTTCTTTGCTTTGTTTTTTTGGTCATGGAGCTTGAACTTTGGGCCTGGCGCTCTTCAGCTCAAGGTGAGCACTCTACCACTTGAGCCACAGCGCCATTTCCAGTTGTATAGTGGTTTATTGGCGATAAGAGTCTCACAGAGTTTCCTGCCCGGGCTGACTCTGAACCATGATTCTTAGATCTCAGCCTCCTGAGTAGCTAGGATTACAGGCATGAGCCACCGGTGCCCAGCGCTTCTTTGCTTATTAATTAGAGGTGAGAGTCTCCAGAATTTGTCTGGGCTGACTCAAACCACTATGCTTAGATTTACATTTCTTGACTAGAATTATAGTTGTGAGCCATCTGCACTCAGAGAATTCTTCTATACAGGTAAGTTTAAGTTTAGAAAACATAAAGGAAAAACTGAAGTGCATGATTAACTGCTGTTTTACATAATTAATATTGTTGTAGGGAAAGCAAAAAAAATCCATTTTCTAGCCTTTCACTTCCC